ATAGCTGGGGCTGGAGCATATGCTGACAGTACAGCTGGAGGAGCTGCAGCCACTGGAGATGGTGATATCATGATGCGCTTTTTACCCAGGTTTGTCCGTTTGGGGAAGATTGCATACATTTTTGCCAGAGAATTCCTGTGAAGCAAATTAACAAAGTGATGAATTAATACAATTGTTGGTTTTATTGGCTGCTTATACATATTTGGCCATGAGTTGCTTTTTTTATTTATGCCAATCAACATGTCTGTAACCAGATAAGGTCCACTATTATAGACAATGAATCACTTACTGATTCTTAAACATGTTTTCTGCTACCTCATTGCAAATCCAAAATGACAGAAGGAATGAGTGACTTCCATATGTAAATGCAGTCCACCAAAAATGGCTTGTGTCCTGCAGTTTCATTTGTGAGAACAAACACATAAGCATTAGAAAGAAGAGAAAATGGTCTCAGTTGGCTATTTTCTTCCCGATTGTACTTTATAGATAGTGAGCATCTTAATTTCTACCTGCTCCTTTTTATTACCAGAAATGATGTAGTCTGCTTAAAATCTGGGTGTATGAATTTTGCAAATGATCTTCACGTGTAGTCCCAAATAGAATACACTACAGTATTCTCTTCCAGATGATAGAGGCATTTCTATTTATAAAATAGAGTAGTGATCCAAACTACTCAGATAACTGAACTGCTCAGTCTAAAACTGGCTGTACAAATCCTGCTAGCTCGTATTCACTTGTAAATGTTGTAGACCTCAGTGGATCTTGAGTTACCTCAAATCAGTCTTGAAATAAGAGAGAACGTTAGGGGTGTGTCTAGACTACAGGGTTTTGTCGACAAAACTATACCTGCATCTACACTACCGCCATGTTCTGTTGACAATAAATTGACAGAATGCAGCAGTTTTGTCGATGGCAGTAAACTTCATTCTACGAGGAATAACGCCTTTTTTTGATAGTACTCTGTTGAAAAAAGGCATTTTTGCATGCAAACTGCTTTTTCGAAAGAGAGCATCTAGACTGTCGAAAAAGCGGCTTCCTTTGTCAACAGTACTGATTGTACTCTAGACGCTCTTTTTTGACAGAGGCTTTGTCAACAGTATCTGTCAAAAAAAAACCTGTAATCTAGACGTACCCTTGCATAGTTCGTTGAGTTAGTCTGAAACGTGTATCTCTGTGACAGAAGATATAGAGTCAAGGGACAAGGAAATGTGATAGTACTTCTCTTCCAGAATGCCAGAATTAAAGATTGTTCATTGCTTAATTGAGGTTTTCTTATTGTAACAAGACACAGTGGCTTCATATAAGTACATGTTTCTTGAAAGGAAAACAATACTCTTAGGCCCAAGTTGTGGTGGTGTTCAAAATTGTTGACTTTGAGAGTGTGCACTGTAGGACTGCTCAGAAGTATCATTAGTCTAATGATATGTGTTCGATATTGTTGTTACTAATATGAAGGTATTTAAATTTGGTTTTGCATTTAAAATAAAACACCTCAACAAAAAAATCTTTGGTTCTCTGGCAAATCTGAGTCAATTAAAAAAACACCTTCATTATAACAAATGGAAGGGGAGTTGGATAACATGTGTCTCTCTGCATGCATGCTCCCTCTTGGACTTGTGTAAGAAAAGTTAATATTCTTTTACCACATTCTTTCTGACTACTTTTAGCGGAAATTCATTATTTTCTAATTCACCTCTTCAAAAAACAAAAACAGACAAACAAAAAGAAGCCAACTTTGAAAGCCTAAATTTTTAAAGCTAGGTCTGTTTATAAGCCTTTTAGAAACTAGCAGTAAGATGAGGATTGGAGTATTGTGTTCAATCATGTAATGAGGAGAAACAGCAATTCTTGGGGTTCTGTTACAAACTTCAAACAGAAGGTTGTTGATCAGTAGCTTAGTCTTCAATTTTTATTTGTGTTCCAATAAAAATTATTTTGCTTTGTTCATAAGTGGGCATATAGCCCATGTTTTTGTAGCACTAACTGGATACCATAATATTTTCAACATGGAGTTTGTTCAGTAGTTACTTTTTCAGTGTACTGTCATATTTTAGAAGGTCATCTGATAATACTCAGTCACAGAGAGTAAAACTTCCAATTTGTTTCCTAAATCAGCTATCAAGCAGTGGAGTATATGAGGACAGGAACAGATCCAACTATAGCTTGCCAAAAAGTTATTTCCAGGATCCAGAAGTATGCTCCATTCTTCTTTGGTGCTGTTATATGTGCCAACACTACTGGAAGCTATGGTAAATCTTCCTGTTATATTTTGTTCAACACAGAGAACTTTGACACAGGCAAGTGAAACATAGAGGTTGATTAAGGAGCAGGCCACAACATTTTTTAACTTTAACCCTTGTTGGGGGGAATTGCACTCTCACTGTCAAATACCAGGCATTTTATTAGGTCCAAAGGTGTATGATTAAATGATAGCTTGCCAAATACCCAGGGAATCCAGGTTGTTCTTCAGCCTAATATCTAAGATTTGCAGAGAACTTTCCTGGGGGAGTTAATAAATACTTAACATTTACAGCTCCCATTTTCTAATACTTTTATAGGTATGATTAATTTTAAGGGTTTTTTTTTTTAAACCATACTTCTTTGGGACATGACATAAGGCAGTCCAAATGTGACTGTAGCAGAGTTTCAGAATGGTACAAGATCAGTCATTGTGCTGGACATCTCATTAGTGAACTATTATGGCTTGTCTATGCTACTGCTTTACAGCACAGTAACTTTCTTGCTTAGGGGTGAGACTTCCCCCACCAATTGCAGCAAGTCTTAGTGCTATCAAGAGCCAGTGTAAACAGGCTTCCAGTGCTGGGAGCTGTGCTCCCTCATGGAGTTGGCTTACCTAGAGCCCTCAGAAAGCTCTATCCCAGCACCGGTGCTGTAACCACACTGCTGCGTTAAAGCTGTGCTTTGCCAGCACTTTAAACTTAGAAGTGTAGACAAAGCCTTAGGATAAGTAGAAAATAAAATTTGCTGATCAGTATGGCTTCTATATCTTACTTCCCATAGTTCTGTGTTTGAGAGATTAGAGTTGGAGGAGAACATTATATTCATCAATGTAAAGATATATCTTTCTAATTTACATTACTAAGTTTATTAAGTGCATTAGTAATGAGCATACTGTTTACTTCTAGTAAAATGCTTTTGAGAAATCTAAAAAAAAATTTACATTTTTAGCAAAATTAGTAATTGGATCTTTAGAACATTAAATATGAAAAAAAATACTAATCTTACAATATTCCCTGTAAGTCACTTTTGGTGTTTGTTTGTTTGTTAACTTTCCCAGGTGCTGCCTGCAATAAAGTTCCAGGATTCACTCGTTTTCACTTCATGGTCTATAGCCCTATGCTAAATCATTCATCTGAACAAGTAGTAGACTGCATTTAGTTCTTTCACTTTTTTTTTCTGTGCCAACTGCATTTATACTTAAAAGACCACGGAGAAAAAGAAAGCGGAAAAGGCTCACTGCCATTTCCTTTTTTATGGATACGTGAGTACGTGGAGAAAGCATCTCTCTCTCTCTCCTCGTTTTAACGTTTTTTGGTTTATAAGCATGCCACCAGTATGTTACTAAACTTAATCTTTTCTCAATCTAGCAAACTAATTTAATAATCTGGTGGGTTATATCCAAATTCTGGTGGGCAGTTTGGTTTCATCTACCAGATGAATAAATGTATCTATTTTTAGATTACACGATATTGCATAGAGATCAAAAATATCTATTGATGATAAAGTGGGATTTAAATACTTTACTGATGTATATGGGTGATTATGTTTTAAAATGGAAAATACCTTTTGGAATCAGTCTCAAAAACTGAAAGTTTGCATGACTTTTGTTTCAAGAAGAACTGGAAAGAACAATTTCGTGGCTGATCGGAGAGCAACAAAGTAAGTTGCTTCTTTTGTGGTGATACATCATCATTCTGTGATGTTCAGTCACAGTAATGCAGTGCATTGCAAATGATATCCTGAAAAGTCAGGAAGTTACTTTATTTGTATCTTTTTGTGACTCAGGTATGCTATATCTTCCCTTCCTTTTTACTTTTACTTCTGGGAACAAATGGAGATGTTTCAATCACAAAGTGTTGGGTAGGATCCCAACAGCTGATAGACTCATTTTCAGACGATGGTTTCCATACTGTACTTCTCATTTCATTTCCTATGTTGTGTTCTGTCATTGAGGGCAGTGCTTCTGTGATCAGCATTCCATTGTTGCCTAAGATATACAGATTTCAGGTCTACAGGACAGATCCAGAAGAACTGTGGGTGGAATGACTTACTTTTCTGTATTAAATATTCTACAAAATGAATTATGGCTAGTGAAATCTCTTCATTTTAACAGACCTTTTTGGCAACCAAGTCCCAAATTCTTGAAGCTTCTGGTGACTAATTATGGAAATACAGTATTTTCTCCAATGTTTCCTCACTTGTCATTATGTAAAAACTTACACTGACTGGTCTGCTGTCTGTGGTCTTTGAATACAGAGTATTACTTGGAATGTATAGATTTGTTTTTTCTCAAATTAGTAATCACCAGTAATCAGCCACAGTTTAAGATATATTCCAATGATTCAACTTATAAAACTGGCAAAATGACGTACCTTTGGTTTTTTCAACTGGTATTTATTTGTTCAGTAGTTGTAGTTTAGTAAGCAATTTTCTTTAAACTTTCTCTATAGTCACAAGCAGTCTGCTACTTCAAATATGTCACTCCCTTAAAAACTTGTTACTGTTCTTGTGGTTACTTCATTTTTTAAAATCAGTTTCTTCTCCTTAATTCCCCTAATACCTTTACCTGATGGTGCTCAAATACACCCATTTGCACAAATTTTTAAGTATTTGCTGCTTCTTGCAGCATCAATTTTCTCCGTCTAATCAACATTTTCCTATTCCCAAACTGCCACCAGTATTGAAAACTGAATTATGAAGTTCAATCTGTTCTGTTTTCAGAATGCTTAGTAAAGGAAAATGCTCCCTTTGTCCTTTTTCTCTTCTGTGCGTGACCTGCCCTCCACAACTGTAAAGGAATAATTGCATGTATCCAATGGAATTTATCTTTAGGGAACAAATATTTTAATTCCTAGCATCCTACAAAATTGCTGTTTCTAACTTTTTCTCCTACTGCATCTCACTTGTGGATACCAAGTTTAATTTATAATGTATTTCCATGTACTGTGACTTTTTCCCCAGTTTTTTGAAGATCTGTTTAAAGGCTCTTTTATCTGCCTTCTAATTTGGCAGACTTGCCAATCAGTTTAATTAAATCAAGAGCTTGAGATTGATAAGGAAACTGAAAGGGAAAAAAGTTAAAATGGCCATGTTTATACCATAAATATTTCAATGAGCTATCTCTGCTTGAGTAAAAACACGGGGGGGGGGGCAGAATAATGCAAGTTTACTTTAGTGTAACTTAATAATTAACTTTTTGGTATCCTTGTATACTTTGTCTTAAAATGACCATCGCCTTATGCTCTTATCTATGATTTAAAAGCTGGAAAAGCTTCCAGACAAGAAATGGCTGTTGTTTTCATTAATCGTACTGTTGATGAAGTTAATTTGGAGGATTCATTTCCTTTTCTGGATGTTAAATGCTAGATGAAAACATACTTTGAGAATGTTTGTGGAAGATTTGCATTGATTTGAATTACTCTGCTCATAATGCTGTTCTGGAAAAGTTAGTTCTCTCTACATCTCATTTTTATGCAGAGAAGTAGTCAAAGGGCTAGATAAATAATGGAACATAGGCAGGTAAGGCCAACATTTAAGCACAGCTTAGATCCTGAAATCACTGTTCAGCTGCTGCTTAACTCTATAAGTACCTAAATTCCATAAATTTCCACCAGTGAGAATGTACAGAACCCTCAGTTCTGCTGACACAAAATACAGAACTATGTAGCACTTTAAAGACTAACAAGATGGTTTATTAGGTGATGAGCTTTCGTGGGCCAGATCCACTTCCTCAGATCAAATAGTGGAAGAAAATTGGCACAACCATATATACCAAAGGATACAATAAAAAAAAATGAACACACATGAAAAGGACAAATCAAATTTCAGAACAGAAAGGGAATGGAGGGGGGAGAGGTAAATGTCTGTGAGCTACTGATATTAGAGGTGATAATTGGGGGAGCTATCTTTGTAATGGGTAAGAATTAATGTCTTTGTTTAGACCTAGGCGTAAAGTGTCGAATTTAAGCATGAATGACAGTTCAGAGGATTCTCTTTCAAGTCTGGTGTGAAAAGGTCTTTGAAGCAGGATGCAGGTAATCAAGTTCTTGAGACAATGCCCGTTCTGGTTGAAATGGCAAGAAACTGTTTTTTCTTTGTGATCCTGTCTAATATCTGTTTTGTGGGCATTGATTCTTTGGCAAAGTGTCTGAGACGTTTGTCCAATGTACATAGCAGACGGACACTTTCGGCACATGATAGCATAAATTATATTTCTGGATGCGCAGGAATATGTGTTCTTGATCTTATAACTCACTTGGTTAGGTCCAATAATGGTATCAGCAGAGTGAATATGTGGACAAAGCTGGCAAGTAATGCAATGGGACCTCTTCCAAGTTCTTTCCATTTGAGATATTCTGAAGAGGCTTGAATATGCCAGAGAGAGGTCTGCTGAGCACTTCGGTTTGGCTCTCCCTTGGCAGAAGTTGGCTGTTTCTCAGTAGGACGTGGATACTAGTTATGTGGAATCTGTCTGCACTGTAACATGCCTTGAGACCGTAATAATATTGCTTCAATTTAAATTTAACCTGTAACCTAAACATAGTCAACTTTATACTATTTTTAGGAACAAGTTATTGTGAGGATATAAGAACTTAGTTCCTCTGATGGAAGTGGGATAAAAAGTGTTTGTAACCTTATCTGTGGAATTCCTGATAATGCCTCCATAATAAGAATTGTGTGTGCCATTCTGAAAATCTATCATGAGAGCATAAGTGTGATATTTGGTGATTAACTATCTGTTGGCAAAATAAATCCTGAGCAAATGAGTTTTAAAAGGTGAACATATATTCATAAAAACCATTTCCTAAACAAATGGAATTCTCAATTTCATATGAAATTGAGGGTCATCCGGTCAAGAACTGCCATAGTTGACTGTTGTGTTTTCCTGTAAAGAATGTGTTAAAAGATTAAAACTAAAGATTAATAGAGGCAGAAGACCAGGATTCCATTTATTTTATTAATGCTTCAAGACTAGTACTTAGAAAAGTTTACTTGTCCCAAAAATTCTTATACTGATCAGACACAATGCTTTCAACATTGGCAGTTCACCAGATAGTGAACCTTAAAATGACATTCTGACTTTATATTTATCACTGACTGAAAGAGATTTTTTTGTATCAGCTAATTGGAGGATTTGCTAGACAGCTTCATTCCACTCAAAGGTGGGAATCCAAGTATGGGTCATAGAATCCATTTGTTTAATTGCTTTACTAGCTCTTAAAATAATTGCACAAATTGCAGTGAGATTTAAATGGGAGTGAAAGGGGAAAGCGAGATGGTAATTGGCATGATGTGATGTCACAGTTCCATCTTGTTGATCATCAGTTCTGAACTGTTGTATTACAGTAGTATTGAAAAAATTGTGTGGTATGTGTACACACCATGGATGTAACGAGATGTGCTTCATAGCCATGATCACAGCTTAAAAGTTGTATCCATATAGCATTTCACACTTTAATTCATTGATTAAGCCAGGAGTGGGGAACTTAAGGCCCAGGGGTCAGATGCAGCCCCCGGCTTACCTGGATCTGGCCCTCAAAGGCTCAAGGCTCCTCCACCCCCGAATGGAGAGCTCATGCTGGAGCACACACAGTCTGCTAGCCTGGGCCTCACTAGGCTAGGGAAGGGAAATGTGTGGAGTGTCCTTCTTTTCAGGGGCCACGTCAGTGAGGATTTTGGGGTTTTTTGCTTCTCGCTTTTTTTGTGCCTTGCCCCCCACTGATTTTTCTGTGGGTCAGCAGCCTCCAACCCTAAAAAGGTTCCCCACCCCTTAAGCATATGGAAGGTTCATGATCTAGAAAGACAAAGCCTAAAAGAATAGTAGATAGAAAACAGGTAAATGTACATTCAATGCTGGGATATTTTAGACCCGTGGTCCCCAACACGGTGCCCGCGGGCGCATTTCAATGCGCCCGCCAGGTGCTCAGGGCTGGCCTGGCCCCGGGCACATGGCGCATGGGCGGTCCCTACCCCAGGGTCGCTGCACATGGACAGTCCCGGCCCCAGGAACATGGGCAGCCCCTGCCTTGGGGTCGCGACACATGCCAGTGCCGGCCCCGAGCGCATGGGCAGCCCCGCCCCCGGGGTTGCGGCAGCCCCAAAAGTTTGGGGACCACTTTATTATAGAGGATGTGCAGTTGTATAAGCCCCTGATGTGTCTTGGCTTATGTGGTTAGTTCCTGTGATGGTGTTGCTTGTATAGCTATGTTGACAGAGTTGGCAACAGGGTTGGGCATGGGCAAGGGGGGGCCCCGCCCCGGGCGCGCGAGTGTCCCCGCCCCCTGGCACTTGGTGGGCAAACGGCCACGCCCCCTGGCGCCCGACAACCTCGAAAGGTTGGGGACCACTGTTTTAGACCCAGTAAGTATAATGGGTAACTGTGTCCTGCTTGTGGCATGCTTTGGATATGTCTACAGTGAAATAAAAGACTTGAGCTGGACTGAGTTACCTGATTTGTGTGCAGGGCTATAAAATTTCAGTGTAGGTATTCCTAGCCTGGGTTATGATTCTGCCCTCCTTTTTGGGGTCTTAGTGCCAGGGCTCTAGCCCAAGCCTGAGCACTTACACTAGAGTTTTATAGCCCCCGTGTCCCAGCCATATGTGCCCAAGTCACCTGTGCTGCAAGTCTTTTATGACTCTGTAGTTACTCACTTTGAGTCCTACTTTCCTAAATTCAAGATCTGTTTTATCTACCTATTTTTGTGTCTTGGTTCCTAGTATTCCTTACCGGATTAGTGATTTGCCAGATTTATACAGGTGCAAATTGCATAATTCAGTTGTTTGGGTCTAACTGATGGAAAAGCATGGTGGAGCTTGCTTGTACATGGCTTTAAATTGATGTTTAGTTAATTTCCTTGGAAATACTTTTGTGTTTTGCTGACAACTTTCCCCTAACAGTGCTGTTTTGTGACTGCCCATGTATCTTTAAGCTATATTCTTCCATCAGGGTGACCAGATTAGGGATTTAATCATATAGTCAAATACATGATTAATGGATAAACCTGGATTTATTGGTTAATCTTATCTACTGCATGCATTGAGAAGAGGGCTGTCTTTAGGAAAGCATGTTTGTACGTTCCTCTTTCCCCCACCAGATGGTACAAGCGTC